TCCTGTAAGCAATAGGCCTTATAAAACAGTATAGTGGTTATTAAGAAATGCCTTTACACTGACTTAATATTAATCAATAAGAATAGAAACACATAAGAATTTAAGATGGCAATATCTGAACTGAACGCAAATAACGTGATCATGGACCATTTATGAACCAGTCTGATCGATCACACTGCCCTAAATAAAGGTCTTTGGGCATCTTCCCCAAGCCAAGTTTCTCTTCTTCCAAGTTATCGTTGGTACAAGGTGTGATGACTTTCAGGCATCAATTAATATAAATTGGAAGTAGGCAAAGTATTAATTAAACATGACATTCTGATTATTTAAACCTTCTATTAAAGTTGATTATTCAGACCATGTTGATAGCCTGTTCTTTAAAAATGACTGATGATATCAAGCTTTACTGACTTCCACCAAGTCGACTATTTCCAACTCTTGAAGACAGAGGGAATAAATGAAGTGAGAAGAACACTGGAACAAGTCTAATAGACAAACCGACTAATCTCAGACCCCCAAGGTCAAAGTAAAGCAATTCATTTCTTGGCTTTCCTCAACACAAGACATGATTGATCAATTGAAGAGCAGGATTACAAACATTATACATCTCAATGATATGTTCTTTGCACTGTGTAACTTTGGGAACAATGATAGATTGCACAGTCTCCACACAAGTAATGTCATAAGGCAAAACTCATTATATTTGCGAAGAAAAACACTTCGGTGTTTAAAAACGAAGGTACACATTAGCCATCCTTACTACTACTAGGCATTTCATTTGATGGGGGGCCATTCAGATATTCTTTGGGATTCTATCACCTTCATGGTCCAAACTTCGGACATTCTTGCTCCTCAGAATACTATTTTTGCTCTTACGGAGTCAGCCACCATGCTATAGATAATTACAAAATGTTACAAAAATTTCCACAATAATTACTGTCATTTTACATAAATATATTAAGTGCCTCTTAAAGGATTGATACTTCCTTAGATCCAAAACTACTCTTAGAGAAGAAAACATTATAAAAAGACACTGGGAACATTTTTAGCATTATAAATGTAATCATATAGCCGGAATTTTACCCCAATTTTTAGGATTAGTGCTTTACAAGCTTTAAAGAGAAAGTGAGACATAATACAAGAAAGAAGTCAGGAGCTAGTTATTTTGATTCCATTAATCTCCCAGTTTACCTCTCACTTGTTTTAACACTTAGAGAACTGTACTATAAGTCATGCTCATAACAGCACTTCCAAAATTACTCCATAGAGTGACATTAGGTAATTTGAAAGATTTCCACCGAAATTAAATTATATGTAAAGGATAGTCAATTGTGATCATGAAACCTTATTCTACATTCTGTATATTTTAAATCACATTGCTATTTTCAGTGATATAATTAATGATCACTTTTTCTATTAGGTCACAATTTTAGCAAAATTTTATTGCCTAGGTGGAGGGGGATAGTAAAAGGTGTTGTATGTTCAGCCAATGATTCATTTCACCAGCTGCCAGGAAGTTACCCGTTGCAGCACACCTGGACACATGCACCCATGACTGATTGGGAAACACATTTATCTTGGCATGTCACAAAGGAGACGGAATTATAATTATTCTCCCTTGTAACTAAAGATATTTTGGAGCTATATCTACCTACAAAATAATACAAATTACACATCTGGACGAGGTTCACATAACTTTACCATCTGTTCTCTATGTTCAACCATAAATATTTCCCAAATTGTTCCTTGTGTTTAAAAAATAAGACTTAGTTTTAAAAGACCTGGACTGATTGTCAACGTTATAGGGAAATGCTGTTTTTAAAATTAAGGCACTGAATAAGTTGCTTAGAACCCTGAATTTCTTTGGTTGATACGTACACAGTACAAATTTAGTCTTTGCTTTCCATTAAGGGGATTTTGTGGATTTCTTATATTCTGATTTTGAGAAAACAAACATGTAACCTAAGTTTTACACAGAATCTTCTAGGCAAAAATTGGATACTTAAGTACCCTAGTATAGCAGAACAAAAAAGTACCAGAGGTTTCTTTCTTCAACTTAAGACTTAGCAGTTACTAATTACCTGGACCTAAAATTCCATAGATTCTTACTTAATCTCTCCTGAGAAGTTCCTTAGTTTAAGATCTTAAAATATCAAATTAAAATAATGCAACATATGTTAAGAAAAAAGAAAAAGAAGAAGATAGCAGGAGGGGAAGAATGAAGGGGAGTAAGTCGGATGGGGAGACGAACCATGAGAGACGATAGACTCTGAAAAACAAACTGAGGGTTCTGGAGGGGAAGGGGGCGGGGGGATGGGTTAGCCTGGTGATGGGTATTAAAATAAATAAATAAATAAATAAATAAATAAATAAATAAATAAATAAAAGAGTTAAACTAAAAAAAAAGTATTTAGAAATATTTAATGACATTTACAGAATCATGATTGCCAGAAAATGAAAATATTTTGTCTGGCATACCCAGTGATAATAATCAGTCTAAATCAGTTTTGACAGTTACTTTTAAATTATTATGAAACTCTTGTATCCTATGTTTTTCCCTTAAAATACTAGTTTACTTTCTCTGAATAGAAAAAATTAAATGAAATCTGTACACAAGAAGAGGAGAGATCATAAAATGCATATTCAATTTCAGTGCTGAAAGTTTATGGAACAGGCTTCAATATGGTGTGAAATAATTTTTCATATTTCTTTCAGAAATACTGAAGAAAGAGAATGGCTTAGGATACTGTAACCGAGGAAATACTCTAATATGAGTAATACTTTATGTTGTTCTTAAAATCAGAATATAATTACAGTAAAAACAACCAATTATGTAGAGATTAAAAAGTACGGTCACTAATATAGGAACTTTATGCATATTAACTCATTACCACCACCCAATGAGGTAAGTGCTATAATTATTCTCACTTTTTTGAGATGAGGAAACTTCTCTGCAACAAAAACGACAAAACACCAAATCAATACAAAACTGTTCTTTAGTAGTTGTACATACTGAATCATGGACATGATCAACGTGTAAAACTAAGACCCTTAAATTAAGAAAGAAAAAGAGAGAGAAAATCTTGAATGGCATACTTTTTCAATAGAATGCATCAGAAATTCAGATCAAGGTAATCATGGCATAAATAATTTCAAAATATGCTTAATATACACAATAGGATTATATATACAGCAAATAAAACCACACTTAAACTGTTAAACACCATTACAAGAGAATCTGAACTGTATCTATACCACTGATGTACCATATAACAAATGTCACACTATAGGTCTTATCCACAAACCTACAGCTTGCCTTTTTTTTTTCCCTAAGAAATATTTCTGATACTAGATTTTTAGAAACTGGGCTCTCTAAAGGGTCTTTAGACTTAAAAGACATAAACCATATATATCTCTTTTATACAATGGAAATTCAATACATATTTTACATATATAAATCTAGTAAGAGCAATATGTTCTCTGTGTTACCACTTACACACTATTCTCAAAAACAGTAAAAACAGGGCAACCTATTTATCTCTGTAATCAATAGATTTGGAGTCACAAAGTGGCTTATCATTTCAAAGTAATGCTAGAAGAGACGAGTTCCTGGTAAATGTATGTTCTCTACCACAATTCCAGTTATAAATATGAAAGTGCTGTCATAAATTTCTCATATTTCTCAATAAAATAACTTTTTCACATGTTTAAATTACATATTGATTTGCATAACAGTTGAATCAGATAGTATGACACATCATTTTAACCCCGATTGCTGTTTTGCATGTTCAAAATTCTGACAACCCCACTACGTGGCCAGATCTAATCGGCTTACTATCTCCCTCCCGATATACTCAGTGCCAGAATTTCTTTGTTTACCTTAATGTGAATTGTGAACATTTGAGCTTATTCTCTGATACTTAGGCAATTTCATACTGACTCACCTTTGCTCACCTTTGTACATGTTTTGTTTCTTGGATGTCTTTCCCCCTTTTTCCTTCTCTCTCTCACTCTCACTCTTTCTCACTCTTTTTTACCTAAAAATTCCTGTTCATCATTTGAGACCCTACATAATAAGCACATCTCCCTAGACAGAGTTAAGTATTTCCTCCTTTACTCTCTGTCAAATTGAGTAAATAATCTATTATGGTATCATACTATGCTACTTTCATTTGTTTACACATTTGATTAACTGACTAGACCATAAAATCGTAAATACAAGCTTTATTCATCATGTAAGAAGTTCCTAGCACATTGGTTAAAACATGGTAGAAGTTTAATGAATGCCAGATGAGTTAAATTACCTAATAATTCAGTCCATATCTTACATGGCATTTCTTAAAATTTCCCTCTTCTGCCCATAGATTATGTTGCTTTCCTGTAGAAAGTCAAACGTTTTTATGGAAACCACAAAATTCACTTATCTAAGTCCTGAGTTAAAAATAATTCAATTTAGGAACATTATGTAAATCATCATCAAATTACCTAATCATCAAAAATATTACCTAGGAACAAAAAGTAAAAGCAATCATCCAGCTACTAAAATTTACAAGTTTTTATAGTATTCTGCAGTTACTTCTCAGCTTTCATAACTAACTGTTCATTAATTGCATTATTCTCTTTAATTGAATAGTTACCAAAAAACTCACATGAATTATTAGAAAGAGTTCATGTTTTATGGAACATCTGTGGGCAGCTGAAAGTCCATGGTAAGTTGTATGCAGGCTTTTACGAAATGGATTACTTAAAATATAACTTTAGTATTTTATACTTTCAGGTTATCAGATAATTTCATGTTGAATGTGGAATAGATACTAAAGTTATTTACATCTAATTTATAATAAATTCAAATAAATTTTATCTGCCTAAGAAAATGAGGAGGAGTATAAGGATCGAGGTAATTAGCCCCTACTGAGGAGCTTCTTTAGGTCTGCTTTTTCAATTGTATAATGTTACATTTTATTCCTCATAAATATTTCAGAGTAAATATGGCCACTTACTTTTCAGGATTTTCCACTTCTTCAGTAACAAAGTTGAGATAGAACCTAAAAAGATGTAAATGAGTTATATATTATCAATATATTTTACGATTATAACCCAAAATGTCAATTCTTAAACATTTATAATCAAACTCAGAATTATAAAAAATTTAAAAACAGGGGCGCCTGGGTGGCTCAGTTGGTTAAGTGACTGCCTTTGGCTCAGGTCATGATCCCAGGGTCCTGGGATTGAGCCCCACATTGGGCTCCCTGCTCAGCGGGAAACCTGCTTCTCCCTCTCCTACTGCCCCTGTTTGAGTTCCCTCTCACGCTGTCTCTCTCTCTCTCTCTCTCTCTCTGTCAATTAAATAAATAAAATCTTTAAAAAAAAATTTAAAAACAAATACTTATTGTAAGATAAAAATCTCCAACAATCCAAGTTCCCATAGATCATTTTTCTATTAAACCATATGTACAGAGTTATTTTTTTATTTTTTAACATTTTTATAGAGGTATACCATATGAACAGTAAAGTGCACAAATCTTAATCAACAACTTGATGAATTTTTACATATTTATACACCCATGGAACCAACGAAAAGATCAAGAGATAAAACAGTCCTAGAACCCTAGAAGGTTCCCTTATGGCCCTTTCCAGTCAATACCATTCTCTTGTAAAGGCAACTGTTATTCTATTTTCACCTCTGATTAGTTTTACTTGTTTGATCAAAATAGACTAACACTGGGGTGCCTGGGTGGCTCATTTGGTTAAGTGTCTCCCTTGGGCTCAGGTCATGATCCCAGGGTCCTGGGATCGAGCCCCGCATTGGGGTCCCTGCTCAGCGTGGAATCTGCTTCTCTCTTTCTGTCTGCCTGCCTCTCTACCTACTTGTGGTCTCTCTCTTTCTAATAAATAAATAAAACCTTAAAAAAAAAACCCACAATAGACTAATATTTGCTTGTATCACTATTATACAATAATTATTTTTTTGTGCATCTGGCTTTTTTTTCTGGACTTTTTTTTTGTGAGTCTCATCCATGCTGTTATATGTAGCAATAATTCATTGTTTTTATTGATATTGTTCATTTTATTACACCATACTTTCTAATGTTGATGGTTTCAGATTACTTTCAACTTACAGCTGTTATAATAGATATCATAAATATGCCTGTACATGTTTTTTGGGGGCCCACGCAATCATTTCTCTTCAGCATACACTCAGAATATGATCACTGGGTCATGGGGTAGATGTACATTTACTGTCAAACAATTTTTTCCCGTTTTTGCACTCCCAGCAATATAGGAGATTATCATGTTTCAGTGAGTGGGGAAAACAAAGTGGGAAACCCACAGTACTTCTCCTCAAGGAGCCCATGGTTTATAGAATGGCCGATAGAATAGTGTGACAGAGCACAGGCGTCAGTGCTGGACCATATACAAGGACAGTGGGAGCCAGGGACAAAGCCTAACCCAGACTGGCAAGTCAGGAAGGTTTTCTAGAGAAGGCATCACCCAAGTGGAGTCTTCAGAAATGCTCAACATCGAGCCCTAGTGAAGTGGTGAAGGACAGTCCAGACTGAGTACCCTGCACGAGCACGGGGGTGTGAGCAACAGTTTACTATTTTGCACTGCAAAGTGTGACAGGAGCAGTAAGAACAGAATTTATTTATTTTTTTTTAAAGATTTTATTTATTTATTTGACAGAGAGAGACACAGCGAGAGAGGGAACATAAGCAGGGGGAATGGGAAAGGGGGAGAAGCAGGCTTCCTGCTGAGCAGGGAGCCCGATGCGGGGCTCGATCCCTGGACCCCGGGATCATGACCTGAGCCGAAGGCAGACGCTTAACGACTGAGCCACCCAGGCACCCCAAGAACAGAATTTAAGTACCAGATGGCTTTGGCTTCCAGGAATCCAGATTTTAGTGGTGTTGGCAAGTCAATCAAAGCTTATAGGGCAAGAGATGTATGACAATAGCATTTCACAGTTTTAGGGAGTTGGCCATATATAAACACAAAAGGGCAAGTAGGAACTGACAATGGTATCAAAGATAATAGATTCTCAATTTGCACGTCTTCCTTTCCATTCACTGTTTTCTGGTATATGCCCATCCAAATAACCTCAAGTCACAAGACTATGAAGTTTTCCCAAGTTCTGAACACTTTTCTGGGTCCCTCACATGACAAAAAGCATTCTAGGCATACAATATTTCACTTTCACGTTTCATAGGATTACAAATATTACCCTAAATTATGGCCCTAGAGAAATTCAGATTCCTTTCTTTTACTCTGTGACTCTACTTATCCCACCCAGAAAATGTCTACCACCTTGTACCCTTATTTTTCCAATCGAAAGGGACTGCTCAAGACTCTTTAAAGCCCTTATAATTTTTTTATTATGTTCAGTTAGGCAACATATAGTTCTTTTTCCAGATTCCAAGATGTACAACTGAGGTAAACTCCATCCTCAAATAAGCATACATAGATAACCGAATTGTGAAGATGGGAAAACCAAGGGATCATAATGGGAGAGCTAAACATATAAAGACAAAGACATGTCTATCTCTTCATTTGATAGGCTTAGGTCATTTCCACAAAATAAAAAGTCATATTTTCAAAACACTCTTCTGCTCTCTTATTTTTCTGCAGAAGGCAAAACAGCCATTATATAGGTACACAGAAGCTTGGGTCTGTAAGTACAAATTTTTCTATTACTTAAAACCAAATGGCTAAAATATTAGCCCAACAGCTTTAATATACTTAAAGTATCTCATAACTTAATATAAGAAAGAGAAACCTGTCTTATCTCATCTTTATAAAAACCCATCTAAATTCACAACTACGAAGTTGATGTTCATGGTTGTCAAAAACTAGACAACAAGTCCAAAATGGAGTTGCTTATGCTAAGCCCCACAACACCAAACCAAGATAATTATAGTTTCTGCTCTCCCAGTAAGGGAATTTTAAACAAATCAGGAAACACTTGATTGGTACTAGTTAGGCAATCTTCCTGACAGATCCCTGCCATTGCTTACATGAAAGTAACCTTGCAAAAACCAGCCTGTTTTTTTGCCTACACTAAGTTCTTTGTTCCTTCTCCCTTCTGCCTATAAAAGTCTCATTTTATGCAGTTCCTCAGAGCTCCTTTCTATCTGCTAGATTAAATGCTGCCTGATTCAAATCAACTTTTGCTCAAGTAAACTCTTAAAAATTTTAATATGCTTCAGTTTATCTTTTAACAAGGTTAAGGCATCCAATATTTTAAGGACTATGTCTTAAGTAGAAGCATTTGAATAGCTGACAGAACAGTAGCAGTAAAGGTGATCTAAAAAGTTAGCAGTCAAGTTTATTTTTTAATGACTAGAAAGTAAG